CTCCAGTAATAAGAAAAACCACCCTAAGAATGCTTCTGTCAGCAGCAGTTAATTATGACTTAACAATTGATCACATAGACGTTATTTTTTTTATTTTTTTATTTTATTTATTGAAAAGAGATTGTCCAAAGGGACTGGCCCTGTTGTGGACTATACAATTGATAGATAGGTGCGGTGAGCGATGCACGGCAACAAGTATTTAAACAATAACACGGATAAAAATATAATGAAGATTTAACAAAAATAAATTAATTTGAAGATTTAACAAAGATAAATTAATTTGTAAAAACATTGTGACTAGAGTCAAAGTAGACTGGTAGGAGATCTCTGCAGAACAGGTCCAAGAAGTGCGCTTTTAGTTGTTTTTTGATTATATTTCTTCTGTTGAGATGCTTGATGTGGATTGGAAGGCTATTGTAGATGTTCAGAGCTTGATAGTGAATGCTGTGGTTTCCATATTTAACTGATGTTACTGGGGGGAGTGAGAGGAGATTGAGAGAGCGGGTATTTTTATTGTGAATGGATCTAATGGTGGAGAGAGGGGTGGAGATAGTTTTGAAGTTGAGGAGGTGATGTATGATGATGGTGACCAGTCTTATTTTAATGAGAGTATCCAAGGGCATGATGTTGGTGATTTTATAAAGTTGAGTTGTTGGATACATTCTATCAACCCCGAGCATAGTCTTAATGACACCATTTTGCAGCACTCTTATTTTTGATACTGTAATTTGATTAGTCAGGCCCCATATATTGCACATATATATTAAATGTGAATGAAAATAAGCATAGTACAGGCTCTTTAAGTTGTCGAAACTGAGGACTTTTTTAAGGCGAAAGATTAGCCTACTCACTGCTCTAAGTTTGGGCAGGAGGTTGTTGATATGGTCACTCCAGCTGAGTGTTTCATCAAGAATCAGTCCAAGATATTTAAACGTTTTAGTTCTCTGTAAAGCTTGTCCTTCCAACAGCATAAGCAGATCCTTTGGTTCCTCTGACATCTTATGAAAAATCATATAATTAGTTTTTTTTATGTTGAAGGAGAGTTTGTTCAGACAGAACCAGTTATATAGAGTTTGTAGATCTTGTATGGCTGCTTCTTGAATGCTGTTGTAGTCAGTTCCTTCATATAATAAGACTGTGTCATCAGCAAATAACGTAAGTTTACCAAGCAGTGGAAGGTTAACTATATCATTTGTATATATAAGAAACAACAGGGGTCCTAGGATGGAGCCCTGTGGAACTCCACATAGGATTGTTAGAGTACTACTACAAGTTGTTTCCAGCCTCACATATTGACCTCTACCATTGAGGTAGGAGGCAAACCAATCATTTGCTCGGCCCCTAACTCCAGCCTTTTCTAATTTTTTTAGGAGTATTTGATGATCCACCGTATCGAAAGCCTTCTTGAGATCAATGAATATGGCAATGCTTTTCTTGTTTGTATCTAGACTATGCTGGATATTGACAACAAGATCAAAGATTGCCCCTTGGGCATCTTTATTCTTTCTAAAACCGTATTGTGAATTTGCGAAGAAATTAGTTGTATTCAAGTGATCCAAGAGTCTCTTGTACATTGACTTTTCCGATATCCTGGATGGGGCAGATAGGATAGAAATAGGCCTGTAGTTTCCCGGTTCGGTTGAGAGTCCAGACTTAAAGATTGGTTTGACCTCAGTTAATTTTGCTTCTTGGGGAAATATTCCTTCTTGGAAAGAGGAGTTTATAAGTTTTGTGAGTGCTGGGGCCACACTAAGACTTGTTTGTTTTAAGAGTTTGTTATTTATCCCATTGGGGCTAGAAGTCTTATTTGTGAGGCTGTTGATGGTATTTAATATTTCCTCTTCTGTAACTTCTTTCAGAACAAGGTCATCTGAGATGCAGGTTACTGCATCTAGACAGTTGCCCATACCTGGTTGTAACTGCTTTGATAGATTAGGTCCAACATTGATATAAAATTTATTTAGTGCTTCAGCAATATGGGACTGGTTATCATAAGAGACATCTTCAAACTCGATTGTCTCAATTTTGTTTCCTTTTTGTGACTTAATGCCGGCTAGTTCTTTAAGTACAGTCCAAATAGGTCTCTTCTTTTTTATAAGACCCTCCATTTTATTATCATAGTAGTTTGTTTTTAGTTTTCTTCTTAGGGCATTTATTTGGCTGCTTATATTATGATGTAGGGATTTGTAGTATTCACTAGTCGGATCAAGTTTGATTTTCTTACAAATTTTTTGCTTAGTTTTTGAGAGCTTTATCAGCTCATCATTTGTCCATGGGTTCAGTTTCTTCTTTTTGTTTGCGACAGTTTTAATCTTAGTTGCTTCAGTTAGAGCCCGAGTGAATGATGAGTGGAAACATTTTGAGATATCCTCTGTTGTACCACACTCTTGTAGGTCCACATTGATATATTCTGAATACTTTTCAATTAACTTACTAACTTTAATTTTTTCAATTGTGGTTGGTAGATCAGTTGGTATTATTAAGTTTTTAATTTTGAAGGACCAGAGTAGCGTGTTGTGGTCGCTTATATTATTAGATATTGTGTATATCTCAGATCTTCCTTTATCAATATTTGTAGCCAGATGATCAATCAGGGTATTAGAGCTTGGCCTGGTACTATAGGTGTTCAGTACTTGGTACCAACAATTGGCTAACGTGGACAAGTGAAGATCTGATTTTGGACATTTTTCCATTAGGTTCACATTGAAATCACCAATAAGAAAAGTTGGTTTATTACCTACTTTCTTAAGTACATCATTCATTATCTGAGTGCTCTCCGCTGACATTAAGATAGATGGATTATAGAATGAGATTACATTAAATTGTTCCAATCCTAGACCTAATTTCAGATGGACATATTGAATATCCTCACCTTCTGATTTAAAATCAAGACAATTTATTTTTGTGCTTACATAGCAGGAGATACCTCCACCTTCTTTTTCCTTTCTTGTTATATTATATGAATTAAAGCCAGGAATATTAAAGAATTTCAATTCAGATTCATCTAGCCAAGTCTCAACAAGGGAAATAATTGCTATACCAGGATATGCATCAATGTATGATTTTATTTTATCAAGCTTCTCCTTTGCTCTTAAGCTTCTGACATTGAGATATAGGCAGGAAATTGCTTTATCTTCTAGTTTAATATTTTCAATAAGAGAGTGTTCAACACCACCTTCCTCTATGGTGATCTTGATGAGACAGTTTACATGGCACAACGTGAAGGTTTTGTCTCTTCTCTGCAAGGTTCAGACCAGCAAGTCTGCCGTCTTCAAAAAGCCGTACATGGTTTAAAGCAGGCAGCTCGCAGCTGGAACAAGAAAGTAGATCAGAAATTAAAACGCTTGGGCTACAGAAACATGACAGACGAACCTTGCGTTTACAATACAGAAAATAAAAAGTCAGTCATAATCATAGCTCTCTATGTAGATTATTTTTATACACTTTATAATTCTAAAACAGACAAGCAAGAATTAATCTCTGCTCTTGAAAAGCTATTTACCATCAAAGACCTTGGTGAAGCGAAAACTTGTCTTGGAATGAAGCTGAAAAGGGATCGGACCAAAGGAACTCGCCACCTGCAACAAGAAGATTATATAAATTCAATATTGTCACAATTTAAAATGGCTGACTGCAGTGGAAAAGGCACTCCCATGGAAGCAACACTAAGACTTACCAAAACATTACCAGGAAAGCCAGTGAAGGTTCCGTATAGAGAACTTGTTGGTCAACTCCTCTACCTCAGTGTCACCACACGACCTGATATTGCTTTTGTAACCAGCTTCCTCAGTCAGTACAATAATAAATACACTGACACACATTGGGGACTAGCAAAGAGGGTACTGCGATACCTTAAGGCTACCGCCACTCTCGGAATCAAGTACACAAAACACCCGGAACCTTCAGTCCCGTACAGAAAGAAGTGGCCTCAGAATGGCTACTCCGTAGCCATTCCCGATCCACCTTGGAACCTCGCGTCCACCAATCTGTAGTCGCTCTGTAGCCGGGCAGTAGCCATCAAGAATGGCTCCGGGAGAGGTAACTTAAAAACGAGAGTAGCCATCGTGGGGCCGTCCCGGGGCGAGCCACGAGCGATTCCAGGGTCGCGGACGAGACGCACTTCAGCCAGGATCGCGCCGACCAGGAGTCTCAGGAGAGCCGTCCAGGGGACAGCGAGGAGACACACTGGAGCCGATAGAGACCCACTTTAGGGACTGCGAGGAGACACAATGGAGCCGGCCGAGAGCCACTTTCGGGACTGCGAGGAGACACAATGGAGCCGGCCGAGAGCCACTTTCGGGACTGCGAGGAGACACAATGGAGCCGGCCAAGAGCCAGTTTAGGGACTGCGAGGAGACTCAATGGAGCCGGCCGAGAGCCGGTTTAGGGACTGCGAGGAGACTCAATGGAGCCGGCCAGGAGCCAGTTTAGGGACTGCGAGGAGACACAATGGAGCCGGCCAAGAGCCACTTTCGAGACAGCCAGGAGACACAATGAAGACGGCCGAGAGCCAGTTTAGGGACAGCCAGGAGACACACTGGAGACGGCCGAGAGCCAGTTTAGGGAAAGCCGGGAGGCACACTGGAGCCGGCCGAGAGACCGGTCTCGACATACGGATGGTGTCATCCGAGCGGGTTGAAAAATATCGTTGTAGTG